TTCTGCATTTTTTCTTTGAGATGCTAGACAAAAGCGGGACCTGTTCTAGTGGCTGTGAATCCCTTCAAGGAGGTTCCTTTATATGGAGATCGCAACATTGAAGCATACAGGAAAATATCAAATCAGAGCCCTCATGTCTATGCTATTGCAGATACAGCAATCCGTGAAATGATACGAGGTGGGATCATGTTTCTCAGTTCGTTAATTGCTTAACGTATTGCACTCTGTGTTTTCATTCTTATCCGGTTTCTTTTCCAGATGAAGTTAACCAATCTATCATTATCAGGTTAGTCCATGTTTCCTCCTTTAAAGTTGCCTGTTACGTGCTAAGTATTTATACACGCACTTATGAAGCTTACAAGTGTCTATATTCACTCGTTTAGCCTTCTTCACGCCAATATTCTTGCCTCTATAGAATTCATATAGTGCTTTACTTCTTTGTGCATTTTGAAGTGTTTTCTTATCACCAAGGTATCTTTTTTTTGTGTGCAGTGGAGAGAGTGGAGCAGGGAAAACTGAAACAGCAAAAATAGCAATGCAATACTTGGCTGCTCTGGGAGGTGGAAGTGGGATCGAGTATGAGATACTAAAGACCAATCCCATCTTGGAAGCATTTGGGAATGCAAAAACACTGAGAAACGATAATTCTAGCCGTTTTGTAAGCCCTCATTAGGCCTTATACATAATCTTTCTCTTTTGTACTCTGGCTGTGAAGGTTTGTTCGTCTCATAAATAATGTTAATTTTGACAGGGGAAGCTGATAGAGATTCATTTTAGTGAAACAGGAAAGATTTCCGGTGCTAAAATTCAAACATGTAAGATTAAGTCTTGAAGTTTGCTGTTACTTTTACCTTTACAAATGCTGACTTAGCCTTTCTCTGTTTCTTCAAATTTTGCAGTTTTACTTGAAAAGGTACGTTCCTCAGTATTATTTGTTTTGACGCTTACAGGGTCTGGTAACCTTAGGATAATTTCTTTTATTTCTTACACATTTTTAATAGTCTAGAGTGGTTCAATGTGCGGAAGGAGAGAGATCATATCACATATTTTATCAGCTATGTGCTGGAGCTTCACCTGCGCTTAGAGGTATGATTTGGAAATCTGAATCCCATAAAGAGCTTATAAAAAATTATACACTGGTTGCATCGCTTGCAAGTCAAAATGATTAATATTCTACGCCAATTTATGTATATTGAACTCTTCATGTATTAATGCAGATAAAATATTGTAGATCTGACTTTTGCATTCCATTCATTGTTTAATCAGAGAAGCTAAATTTGACAAGCGCACAAGAGTACAATTATTTGAGACAGAGCAATTGCTATTCAGTTAAAGGAGTTGATGACGCTGAACGTTTTCACGCTGTTCAGGTAAACTGTACCATATTCTTTTCTTTTCTCTGCATATTTCAGACATTTAATTCGACCTTTTGATTGACAAACTCTTTGATGTTACAGGAAGCTTTAGATATTGTGCACGTTAATAAAGACGACCAAGAAAGTGTATTTGCAATGCTTGCAGCAGTATTATGGCTGGGGAATGTCTCTTTCTCCATTACTGACAATGAAAACCACGCTGAACCTGAGTCAGATGAAAGTAATGCTCTTCAGTCCTTGGAAGGCTGATACTTTTTTTTTTTAACGTTATTCTGCTTTTCTGTATCGTGTGTGTGAGAGGTCACCTCTTTAGTTCTTGTTTGATTCACTTGGAGAAGGATTTTGGTTATTTCAAATTTGCTGCTTAATATTTGTGGCTAATCTGGTGGGATGCACAAGCAAGGCTTACTGAAGTGCTGTTTCTTTCTTTTTATCAGGTTTATCAACTGTTTCTAGATTGATTGGGTGCAACATCAATGACCTTAAGCTAGCTCTATCAAAGCGTTATATGACAGTTCGAAGTGAAACTTTTGTACAGAAGCTAACACTTCCGCAGGTAGGCCTTTTATAAAGAAATAGTACATTTAACTTTTTTGTGCATAATTGTATTCTGAGCAGGGTTGGTTTTCCACTCTGTAATCCTATGCCTATTATTTAATTAGTTGGCTTCGAGCCTTGCAGTACACAACTATTCCGTCAAAAACTAATGGCTTGTTTTTTTGTTCTGTTTTTTTTTTTTTTTTTTCATTTTTTTATCTCAGGCCATGGATGCAAGAGATGCTTTAGCAAAGTCAATCTATGCCTGCCTATTTGACTGGCTGGTTAAACAGATAAACAAATCTCTTGCGGTGGGAAAGAGGAGAACTGGCAGATCCATCAGCATTCTTGACATCTATGGCTTTGAATCATTCAATGTATGCTTCTTTTAGTCTATTTTTTACTTTTTCTTGGATGCACGTTAGATATTCAGATCAAAGTTAACAGTACTAAAATCATGAAAACCATAGCAACTTTTTGGGAAATATTGGTGAGGTCCTGAGGGTACTCAGTCACATAGTGAATGATATTCAAGGATGAGAAGTAGGATGAAACAGTCACTACCTCTAAGTTTGTATGTCTACTGAGAATCTTCGTAGGAACTATTTCACATATACATATTTCTGATCTTATCGTTCTAAAAGTTCAATTTCTGTGAACCAATGTTAATTTGGCTTCACATGTTGCAGAAGAATAGTTTTGAGCAGTTCTGTATAAATTACGCGAATGAGAGATTGCAGCAACACTTTAATCGCCATCTATTCAAGCTAGAGCAGGAGGTACAGTCACCATTTTGATATGTGTTCTTGTACTATATCTAAGCTGAACATTCACGTGACAGACATTCTATCGAGTTCGGATGGCTTAATATGTCTTTTACTTTTCCAGGAATATATCAAAGATGGGATTGACTGGACAAGGGTTGATTTTGAGGACAACCAAAATTGTCTCAGGCTCTTTGAAAAGGTAATGTGATAACGAATCTCCTCTAGAGTCACTTACCATCATATGGGTATGATATATTAACATTTTGCGTTGACTTCCGATCATCAAAACAGTCGATGGGATATATTCTTGAGTTCTAAGACATTTAATTATCACATGTGTGCAGAAACCATTAGGCCTCCTCTCTCTTCTGGATGAGGAATCGACATTTCCGAATGGCACAGATTTGACACTTGCCAACAAGCTTAAGGAACACCTAACTGATAATTATTGTTTTAAAGGAAATCGAGGGAATACTTTCACGGTTGCTCATTATGCTGGAGAGGTAACATCTTTAGAAAATTCCGTGGCACCATTTTACAAGACATGACACAATATAAGGCATGTTATGTTGTTGGGTCTGTGGGTTGACAATGATTCCTTCATGATGCCAATCTTTACTTGTTTTTTTTTCCAACTAAGGTTACATATGAGACAACTGGATTTCTAGAGAAGAACCGGGATTTGCTGCATTCGGATTCTATTAAGCTTTTATCATCTTGCTCTTGCCACCTTCCCCAAGCGTTTGCGTCTAGTATGGTCGTCCATTCTGAAAAATCTGTAGTTGGTCCTTTACACAAAGCAGGTGGAGCTGATTCCCAGCGACTGAGTGTAGCAACTAAATTTAAGGTAGGGCGCTTTGGCCTTAAACGCAGCTTGCTTCTAGTTCTGCTTTTACATGATCTAAGCTTGTTGTGGTTTTTTCTTATCTAAAGTGCTTGTGCTAACTTTAGAGACGGAAACATCTCATTATCTTATAATATATGATTACTGACCATGCTTGTATACTTTTTGTCAGGGTCAACTTTTCCAATTGATGCAACGTCTGGGAAAAACTACCCCACATTTCATTCGCTGCATAAAGCCAAACAATGTTCAGTCTCCGGGGTTGTATGAGCAAGAGCTTGTCTTACAGCAGCTAAGATGCTGTGGGGTCCTCGAAGTGGTTCGAATTTCCCGGTCTGGATTTCCTACTAGAATGTCTCATCAGAAGTTTGCCCTAAGGTATCAACTCCATCAGTATTCAGTTGCGGCACTTCCATAGTTTTGCAATAATGTTGAGTAATCATTCATGTTGTTTTCCTTGTCACAATATAGGTATGGTTTCCTTCTGCTGGAGAGCATTGCAGCAAAAGATCCTCTTAGTGTTTCGGTTGCAATTCTTCATCAGTTCAACATCTTGCCAGAGATGTATCAAGTCGGCTACACAAAACTGTTCTTCAGAACTGGCCAGGTACTATAGCTAGTCGTTTTGATGTTTTGCCAAAAATTATAGACTCTTGCTGTAATGTCTTGGCCTTACTGTTGCAGATTGGGGTTCTTGAAGATACAAGGAACCGCACTCTTCATGGGATTTTACGTCTCCAAAGCTGTTTTAGAGGACACCAAGCACGAAGTCGTCTAAGAGAGTATAAAAGAGGAATCACTTTTCTTCAATCATGTATTGCCCCTTTTCTCATTTCAATATATATATATATATATATATATATATATATATTTTTTGTTTTTTTGTTTTTTTATCTCAATAAAGTAGAGACAGTTTCAGCTTTAGTTCACCTACGGTCCTCTTCATACATCGTTTTGTTTCAGTTGTTCGTGGAGAAAAGATGAGAAAGGAATACACCGAGTTACTACGGAGGCATAGGGCTTGTTCTGCTATACAAAGCCATGTTAAGAGAGGGATTGCTAAGAGACAGTATAAAGCCAAGGTTGATGCATCTGTTGTAATACAGTCAGGTAAAAAGGGTTTGATCAAGTGTCATGATTGAAGCAAATCTTGAAATCTCATGACGGATTGAAACCTTTATTTTCTTGCAGCAATTCGTGGCGAGCTGGTTAGAAGAAGCGGTGGGGATATTAAATATGGAGGCACCAAGGTCCTAATAGAGTTATCATTATTTGCTTGCATCTGAAAAAAGGATATTAATGAACATTGCTTGACTCTTGAACCGGTTTCTTACGCAGATTAATGAGTCAGGAGAGGTGTTAGTGCAGGCATCAGTACTTTCCGAACTTCAGCGCAGGGTTCTGAGAAGCGAAGCTGCTCTTCGTGAGAAAGAAGAGGAGAACGATATTCTCAGACAAAGACTCCAGCAGTATGACAATCGGTGGTCTGAATACGAGACGAAGATGAAATCCATGGAAGAAATTTGGCAAAAGCAAATGAGATCTCTGCAATCTAGTCTGTCCATTGCAAAGAGAAGCCTAGATGTCGAGGGTTCACCCAGATACTCAGATGCATCTGTGAATGCTAGTTATGCAAGTGATTTATCTGCAAGTGGTGATTTCAGGACCCATGGAAGAACTAGTAGTGTTGGATTAAGCGTGATAAGCCGTTTAGCAGACGAATTTGGACAAAGAGCTCAGGTGTTTGGAGATGACACAAAGTTCTTGATGGAAGTGAAATCTGGTAAGATAGAAGCGAACTTGAGTCCGGAAAGGGAGCTAAGGAGGCTGAAGCAGATGTTTGAGACATGGAAGAAGGATTATGGAGGGAGACTAAGGGAAACGAAAACCATACTTAGTAGACTTGGGAGTGAAGAAACTGGTGGTTCACCTTCAGTGGAGAGGGTGAAGTCGAAGTGGTGGGGAAGGTTAAGGAGTCCCAGACGTTAATGGTATGTTCCGTTTCTTGAGAGGCACGTCTCTCTTTGTTTTACACGTTTGATGTCATCTGAGGTTTTGGTTTTGTTGCTGAGAGGTGGGAAGGCTCATGGGACTAAAATGAGTCATGTTTCTCATTTCCATCCAAATTTACTGGCAGATTCAGTAAATATTTTTTATACATTATTCATGTATTGATAATATATTCATTTGTCTCAGACCTATGTGGACTGACCAGTGTTGTGGAAACATATAAAGGCATCAATAAATATGTGTGCAGAAACTGACAAATACATTTTAAGAGAGCAACGAATCCCTTATATATTAAATGAGAAACATTTGAAAAATTGTAACCTCAGTTTTGTAATAATTAAAAAAGATCTCATGCTTAGGTGTCACTCAATTAGGTAGTCAGTTACGTTCTATTGAAAAATAAGTAGGTCCACATTCGATTTTTATATGTCGCTAGATACATTCGTTGGTCAAATTATATGATATGATGATATGATATGATATTTATGATAGAAGCATTTATAATTGTTCCCCTAGATATAATTACTATTTTAATTTCTTTCCATAAATAAAACCTACGGAATTACCATAAATGACTAATATATATATGACACTTAATGATTCTAATAATAAATATTTGATAACAGTTTATATATCCTCCAGCATTTTTCTTTAATTTTATATTATTAAAATAAATTAAACAATCAAATTAGCTATAAAATTAAACTTTAGATTTTTTCGTATAGGTTATATTTTGAATTTTAAAAAATGAGAATAAATAACTAAACTATTATAATTATTATGTTAAAAATTAATGATCAATAATTTAACATTTTTATTATAAAAAGATATACATGATTTTAAAACCATATAAGTAAAAAGTATCATTCAATAATAAAAATATATATACAGATTAAACTATATACCATATAAGATTACATAAATATTTTAATTTCAAAATTTTCAATAAATTTTCAAGAACATTTATAAATTATAAAATTATTAAATTTTCACATTGAAATTTTTTGTTATCAATGATTTAAATATCTTAGTTCTTTTTTTTTTAATTTTATATTTTTAAAAGATATTAACAATCCATAATATGGTTATTTTTGGTATATACCATACAAACCGAATGGATGTGATTTTATAAAAACCATAAGATTTGGATATGGTTTGATTTATAACCGATTAAACTGAAACATGTAAATATGTATATATTTATAACGACGCATGAATATCTATTTGTTACATGAGTTGAACTATAATTATAATTTGTAAATAGCTAAAAATTTATTACAACTGAGACTTCTTATTTTGATCTTTTGCTTTTTAACAGTAATTAAATTGAAGTAAAGATAATAAATTTGATGGACAACAATTAGTTGAAACTCTTTACAACTTTTTTTTATCTTTAAACAAACAGAGTTGTGTTCAATCGAAGACATATTGGTTTGATGAACACTAAATATGGAAGAATATAAAAACTTTTCTTTCATGCTTCTGTTTTGTTTTTTATTTTTATTTTCAAAATTTAGTGTTTTGATATTAATTCTAGATTTGATCATTTTATTAGATGATAGAAGCCTTTTTTGTTTTTATTTTTTAATTTTAATATATAATATTTTTTTTAATATGACACAAGCGACTAAATATGACTCTAAATATGATCATATTATATATTTGTATAATATATAATATGATCTCAAACTAAATAATTCTGTTTTTTGGTATAAAATTGAATAAACTGAAAACCGATGGTATATAAACCAAATCAAACTGAAGTACATATAGATTTAGAATAGTAGTTATATTTTAATAATCGAAATACCAAAAAATCGAGCCGGACCAAAACCCGATATCCGGATTGAACACCTCTAATCCGAATGAAACCGAACTAGTGTTCCATTTTTCAAAACATAATAAAAATAATAGCTTAATCCCGCGCAAATCGCATGTCTTATCCTAGTAATTTATTATTGGTGTGAGCAACAGTTCAAAAACTTGGTAGAATTGATATCTTTAATAATAAAATTAGATTTTGACCCGCTCAACTGAGCGGGGTTTAAATTTCATTTATATATATTTGTTTATATTATTATGTGTATATATATTTTTAATATTAATCATATATTTAAACATTTATTAATTTTTCTTTTGTTTTGTCAACCAAATGGTTATTTATTTATGTATATTAATTTTAGATGATATATTGTTGTATATATATAATTTAAGATATATTAATTTGTATACATGTAATACATAGTATGTTAGCCNTTTATTAATTTTTCTTTTGTTTTGTCAACCAAATGGTTATTTATTTATGTATATTAATTTTAGATGATATATTGTTGTATATATATAATTTAAGATATATTAATTTGTATACATGTAATACATAGTATGTTAGCCCGCTTTGACAACATAATATATTATTTTAACATAAATATTTCTATTTATGAAAATAAAATATATTAATATATCATTTTAATTTAGTTTTATCATATTTAGTTCATTATAATAATTATGTTAATATGATAAATTATGATTATAAGATGAATAAAATATGATAATTGTTTTTATTTTTCATTTTAAACAATAACTAAATATATATTGAGGCATAATAATATTTTAAACATTAAAATTTTGTAGGTTATATGATAAAATTTATCAATAAGTTAATAAAATTAGATCTTATATATTATCTAATTTTATAATAGGGTCTAAATGGTAACATAGGGAACGAAGGAGAATAATCAATTCCTACTTATTCCTTAAAATATACACCATTCATAAGGAATATTTCATGCATATGATTCCTTATCATTCCTTGGATTCTAAGGAATTATAGAACAAAAACATTCCTTATCAAAATTGATATGGAACCAAAGTAATAAATATTTCTTTTCATTCCTTTTATTTTATTCCTACTAATTACTTTTCTATTTTAATGGTCACCAGTTAGAGCCATAATGTTTGTGTGATTTATAAATTAGTATTTTTTTAATTTACTTTTTTGTTTTATTTATAAATTTGAAATATATGTGAAAATTAAATTAACTTGGACCTACATAATAGAGAACAAATTTTTGGATACTGTTAGAACTATTTTACATTATTTTTTATTTTTGCTTATAGATTAAAAATGCATAAGTTTTTTAATTATTTGATCATAATTAAAATTTGAAATAACTGATTTTCGAAATATATTTCTAAAAGATTTTGTTAGAATCTTTTTTCAAATATTTATTTACATTTCCAATAAAAATAAGATATGAAAGGATATCATAATTAACATATGTAAAATTTATAAATATGGTCCAAACAAAAAAATCACACAAAAAGTGAAATAGTGACTTCTGTTTTAATATATAAGATTGGTTTTTTTTTTCCCACTTCTTGAAGGAAAAAAATACACGTGACACATCATTTTTTTTTTGGGTAAATCGTGTTTTGTTGGTAGATTTTGTGGGTTTATGTGATTTGGGTGATGGTCCATGACATATTTTGGTGACTTATCATTTCAGCAATTCTTTTGTTTATGCAGACCCATTAAATTGCAAACTTCTCACATCAAAGGTGTTTTCTGGGATTTACGTGAATCCATCTTCTGTGAAAAACGACGAACAACCCTTCATGCTCCACTTGCAATTCAGTAACGGATGATAACAGTGACAAACAATAAAATTAACCCACTATTTTATCTTTAATTCCTCTTCTCTACCTTCTTCATCGCCATCATTCAATGATACGACTCACATATAAGAAAACATTGGGTGTATGGCATATAGGAACGGACCTGATCAACCCTAGTACAGTTTCAAAAACACCTCAGTACCTGCGTAGAGGCTTCGAGCCAAAAACTCACGCAGGGACCACACGTACTAGTGCACCAGTTCTTGCATTGAAAATGCTCCGAACTAAACACAATGCAAGGGGCATGACGTATAACTGCAGAGTACTGAGATCAGCACCATGATCTCAGGGAGCAGACGGTGCACAAAACCCTAGGAGCACTTCTATCCTACTTATCCAGACGTGGAAAGTAGAATTCTGGCACGTGGATCACTACTTACTAGTAGACCCACACCAGCACCTAATCGATAAGACTAGCGTTTGCCTAAACCCATGGGACCATTTCACGGGATTAGTAACCCTTTCACAGGTTGAAGTCACACCAACACGAGATAAAAGACTAAAAGTGGCTTTCTGCAGAAATCAGAGTGCAGCATTAGAGGATCTCGATAGTGGCCTACTTCTGAGAGACAAGATGCAAATTCGTAGCCGAGGTCGGTAGTGGCCTACCTAAGGAGGGCAGAATACGATCTCGAAGAAAACACCTCCGGGTTATAAAGGCCTCCGGGTCCTATAGACACCTCCGGGTTATATAGAAACCTTGGGGTTAAATAAGACCTTAGGGTCCTAAACACCTCCGGGTTATATCGACACCTACGGGGTTATAAAGGCCTTCGGGTCCTATAGACACCTCCGTCTATACATGAACCTCCGGGTTAAATAAGACCTTAGGGTCTAAAACACCTCCAGGTTATATCAAACCTCTGGGTTATAAAGGCCTCCGGTTCCTATAGACACCTGCGGGTTATATAGAAACCTCCAGGTTAAATAAGACCTCAAGGTCCAAAACACCTCCGGGTTATGTTGGGGTTAAAATAGGTTACGACAGAATCAACGACCAAACTTTCCGCAAAGTTAAGAATATTTTTTAAGAAATACGAAAACTTAACAATCGCCATCTTGGAAATCATCAGAAAACCGAATAAAACAATCCACGATTCTCCAAATTGGCCAAATTGGCAAAACATGGCTGTAACGTGTAAACTCCCCGAAATGACAAAGCCATTATTAAGATCAAAAACGATAACCTCGAGATCAACAACTACGATTATGTCTCTTTAAATTATTCGAAAAGATCTCGGGTCGAGAAATGATCAAAACCGAACGACCGACCAGCTCGCCAATAGGCGAGCTGGCCGTGCTTGACCAGCTCACCTGTTGGCGAGGTCAACTAACCAGTCCAGCTCGCCAACAAGCGAGATGGCCAGCCCGGATTAGCTCGGTTCTTGGCGAGCTGAACCCCTCAGTCCAGCTTGCCAAAAGGCGAGCTGGCTAGCCTTGACAAGCTCGCGGCAACAATTAAACGAAACACCAACATTGCCAAACTGTACGATTAACTCGAGACATTTTATAAAAAAAAACGCTACAGACTCGTTTTCTCGGAAAACTTCGAGTAAATCGTAGAAAACGACAACGGTAAAACGAAACACCAACATTGCCAAACTTTAC